TATCCACTCTGACACCTCAGATTGGGCGATGACGCCTGATCAAGGACAATGACAGTAAGCTTGTAAGGCCAACGGCAAAGAACAAGGCCAAATCATATTAGTCATTTTGAATGACTCGGGATATCTTCAAGATGTTATTGTACCCATTACAGACTGTTATTTAAGACAATGTCGGCGTCCCTTACTCGAAGGAACCAGCAGCAGTTGTCAACTACTTCCAGTTTTTGCCGATATTTCACGCGCGTAGCCCCACTTCCGCAACCACAGTGGACTAACTGACCGAACGGACGCATGATACAGACGAATATTCGTGACGACGGCCATGTCGCGCTGGGAAACAATTTCGTCCCTAGACCATTGGGTCGGACATTTTTCCCCAGGTTTCTTGGGAATTTTGAGCACACACATGTTCCCAATAGCCTCTCCGATTGTTTTTTCGAGGTTCTCTTCTAACTATTTGGCTTAAAAACCTAGTCATAAGACGACTGTCGCAAGCAAATTTATTTAGTGGTGGTTTACGGTCACTATGTTTGTGAGCAATCGTTTCCTATCGTTAGTACAATGTGTACCTCTTAAATTTTATAGCCTACTATCGCGTAATTGTCAATAAAATAAATATTTCATTTTTTGATAAACATTCTAGTTTGTCGGTTACCGGTCCGATTTATTTGCCTGTAAAATGGCATAATAAACATATTATTATTATATTTGGTCCTTTATTTGACCGTATTCTACATAAGCTACACAGGCGCTTATAAAATATCTTATTGAGTCCGCAGTACCGCTGGCAAAATTACAAGCTAGTTTGAGCTTTATAATCTACGTGTTTTGGCCGAACTGCTTTTGTATAGACTTGCTGAGATGGGCCGCCCTATTGGCAGACGTATGATGGATTTAATTTACCTCCGAGAACGACCCCAAAAACGAGACACTCGCCTTTTCCAAATACTTCTTTTCCTGAAAAGCACCTTCTGGCGAAGTCTTTTTGGCAAAGAGGCAAATGAATTAGAACGCGATGGTCTCCTTGAAAACACATGTAAGTAAAGTGGCAGTTAGTGCCACTGAAAGTCACTTTTTACAAGAATTTACGAAAATATGCCGAGCTCTGATTTTTCCTAAAAGACGAGTGGGCGGGTGTGTTTTGAGTTCACAATTTACAGCACCATGTTCAGCCGTCTGTCACCGATATAGCCGTTTTTCAACGTACCTCGCCTTAAAAAGATCTGTGTCCAGACCGCCAACTCCAAGTGCGTCTGTGGAATAACAGTTGTTGAGGTCGTCGCTGATAGCAACAAGGCAAAGTAGACTGCCCATTTCAGGCTTACATATGTCTTCAGCCATTTGTAAGTTAATCCCAACCTGGGACTTAAAATGCTGTTCACTTAATCATTTAGTTCCAATTCTAGTCGACTCACGCACCCAGGTCCTGCCATCCGTATTCTGGAATATTCAAGTCCACTTAAACTTGTTGCAGCTGCGAGCATGATTGATCTGGCCGGCCTCCATAGTTTTCATGGGGTGTCTTGGGAATTGTTAGTACGGGCGGGTCCCCAACAGCCGTTCGGATTATTTGCTTGAGATTGTCTCCTCTAGCGTTTTGGCCCAATAGCCTAATTGCGAAATTGTTTAATAGCGGTTCACGCTCGCAGTGTCACAGTGCCGTCGTCAGGCTATGCGATAATTAATAGGCTTTTGCCTTGCCAGACCTCAGCCCGCCGTGCCCTGGTAGCACTGCCGCTGCTGGCCCGCAACTGCTTATTCGCCAGACCCGAGAGTG